GGTTGAAGTTAGACATTAACACCGTCGGATGCCGGCTCAGTGGTCTAATGGTTAAGTGCTCGCGCGCGAAGCCAGTAGGTCCTGGGTTCGAGCCCCTTGTGGTACGGGATCGTGGATGCGCACTGCTGAGGAGTCCCATACTGGGACGAGACGGCCGTCCAGTGCTTCCAGGTTTCCAATGGTGGTCTAGCTTCAACTGACTCATGATTTCAACCTGTGAAGTAAATATTTGTTGATTAAATCAATCAGCTGTATTTCAAGCTAATCCTATGTTAATTCTATACGCTGTTCTCATTATCCACTTTATGTCGCATATTTTATTATATTACTTACGTATGCTCAGTAACTAATACACTATTATCATCTAGAGTGAAATGTGCCTCCGTTATCCTGTCTCACATCTCTAGATATTTACATGAATCTTCAATATATAATCCATTCAGAATCTCTTAACTTCCTGTACGTGCATTGAATACTTGTCTATTTGTAACAATCTCCGTAATTTGTATGCATAGTTTTCACTTTTATTTACCGGATATCACTCTTGAGCCGACATAGCTATTGGATTTTATAGAGGTTATTACATGTATCCGAAGGGGTTTGATAAAGATTTTAGTAACTTCAATAGTTGAGATCATGTGTCAATTGAAGCTAGACCATCATTGTATGTGTATGTAAATAATCCTGGTGTAATTATCGTAGGGAAAATCCCTTCTCATATCATAATTTTGCACATGTAAGCACCTTAGATACCTCCTGAACTAATTTGTTTAAAATGCATTGCTTATGTTATCACTTACAATAATACCGCCTTTATGTTGGATTATTAACATGCCTCAGTGGTTTAGTTTGAAACTTCAAATGAATTTAACACCATGTTGGGAAAGTAAGATATACATTGGAAAATACCATATTTTATCAAAACAGGCACATCGTGCTTTATAGAATGAGTCAAAAAAATCATCGAGAAATACCATAAATATTCATGAAGTTTATTCACGTATAAAACAACTGATTTGTTCATATAAGAGCCTTGAAAGAATGACTACAGTATATAGATCCTTGAAATAACAAAGCCTTTTAACCTCATCAAGGATGTGTCTGTGACAAAAAGTTTGAGAACAGCTACCGAATGTTGTTTTACCAGACACAAACCATTCGCTTTATTCAGATCCTTAGTTTTAACTATTTACTGACATTGTAAAGAGTATTTACAATGCTGTCGCGGATAATTAGACATGATAGTCAGGGTTGATTATTTAATATCCCACTGGAGCTAAATTGCCTGGAATACTTGCTGTTTTAAGTTTTATTATTCTAGGCACGTTGGTTGGTGAACCATAGGACTAATATGAGCATTTTAGTGTCCTAGGTCAAAGATGTACTGTTAACTGTACTGAAATGTGACGATAGTGAGGTGTTTCCTTTATAAAATAGGCACCGAGAGGGATATTACCACCATAAAATAGTAAAAGAGGACTATAAAAAGTCGACCCTAAAAGTAGCACATCTCATCTTGCAATATGTATTTTCATCGATACCTCATTTCTGCAGCAATTCGGAAAAATCTCCCGATCTCCTACATTGTATGAGTAGTCCATGTACCTAAATAAATGATTGCTCTGATTGTGGCAAAGGGCATCAGCCTAGTGACTTCCGAAGGAATTCGGCTTTCACCATGAGGTGTCATAACTCTTCTAAATGAAGACTTTCTGACTCCCAGAGCAGAGTTTAAATGGTTTGAACAATTTTTTTATGTTTAGCGTTTTTTTTCGAATTGGTTTTCCACGGAATGGGGTAGCTAACCACATTCCCAACCCTCCTCCTTTATCCGTGTTTGGGAACGGCAGTAGCCCCAGAAGGGCACCAGGCGGAGCTGCGTCGAACTCAGTCAGACATTATAAGTACGGATTTAAGACATCCAAAACTACTCATAAGATATTCCTATATGAATGGCATCAAGCAGTTATTCCTTGTGTTTATGCTCCAAAGTCCCCAAGAACACTTATAACTCAATTTCCTTTCCAGCCACTTCGAGAAGTACCTTTCCGTAATGTGTCACAGGCCTTACAATTCCAACAGTATTGGCTGGCAAGTACGTAAAAATACATGTAAGCAAAGCAAAATGCAAAAAATACTGTCATATCTATTCCAGTATATATATATATATATATATATATATATATATATATATATATATATATATATATATATATATATATATATATATATATATATATATATATATATATATATATATATATATATACGTGGTTAAAAGTAAGTAGGACAATGGTCAACAGAGTCAAAACATTGTGTCATATTTTACCTACCGAAATAAGTCCCTCTAACTCATACATAGTTTATTTTTCAATTAGAAGTGTGATTGTAAGAATACTTTACGATAATATTTTATCTTGTCAGTCAGTAACAACGTAGAACTTCGTACGTACGTACATCAGTTCGAGTTGCCACACCACATTAGCACAGAGATGCAGTGGTCGATTCAAATCCCGTAGTGGTAGAGGTAATAAGAGTATAAGCAGTAATCGGAAAGATTAGTGTTCGGAGATGTTACTTAAAGAGTAGAATACAGTGAAAAAAACTTGGGAAGAGAGAAAAAGAGACAAGGGGGAATCAAGCGATCAAAATTTGGGAGAACACAAAAAGTGGATTCACCTGCGCCATTGCAAACGATTTTGAGCCATGTCATTCAAGGTCTCTAACCATCGGTTGCTATCATCTCGCGGTCCCCAACCAGGTAGTCTACACCTACCGACATGACTCAGTCCACTTGTCAGCGACTTCATGGACTTGTGCCATGTTTTGGCCTGGCCGCGGTGGTCAGGCTTGCCTATCGTGATGACCCAAGCGAGCTATATTGGCTGGAACATATGTTCCTGTAGGTTCTACCATGCCAGCAAGGTCGATTGGAGAACGGTAAGACTAAAAGAGCAGCTCAAGATCTGGGAGCGAAGTCGTACTGCTGACTGTAGAGGGGTGTGACAGCAGTAAGGTGTTTCCCTCGGACAACCAGCATCTGCAGCGATGCTGCCTCCCCACAAGGAGGGGTGGGGTTAGAAAAGATCGACCCTAAAAATGTCACACCTCACCTTGCCTCATGAATTTCCGTCTCCGGCGGTAAGGTCCTTTGAAGAACGGAGCTAACTCATCAAAAACCTCCCACAAAAGGGCCGTGCGCGACCGGCCTCAAGCAGTTGTCCCTTTGGCTCTGCGGTCACGCTCCCAGGTCGTTAAAACCAACACTAATCCAATTTCATTTTCAGGTTCCTCAAGAAATACCCTTCCACGATGTGGGCAGCCGGAAAGTGATATCAGCCTTCATACCCGTAACAGCGCACGAAACAAAGTTGTTCACATTCAAATCCTTCCTAAACCTTCTAATACCTCTCTTATTTCCATTTTATCTTGTAAGGAAAACATACCTTACACTGACTAAAAACTGAGATAATAAATTCCATGTTTGTGTAAATATGGAGCAAACATTTTAGTGTAAGTAATTTCAGTATTATGATAAGTTAATTGCGATCAGGATAGCTTATTGACATCTCCAACTGTGACTCTGAATAATTTGTGGGATCCTGCCCGGGAGCCCAGACTGAGGCGGGTGGTTTTCTTAGAATGTCATTCCCCAAGTTTTTGACCAGGAGGTCTAATGCAAAAGACATCGCAGCACCGTTAGGAGACACAGTCCCATGGTAGCCGGTGACCGACAGTAGGTTCATAGGCCATTTGTTTCCATAGGATCCTGAAGCTCATGTACTCCATTGTTTTGAAATCAGGGTTTTCCAACTCTCCTACACGGATAATTTATATCCATCAAACAGGCCAAAGCAGTGAACATTCGTTTTCGTGCTCTGAATTCCGTAAACAACATACCTGCCAGGAGAATGCAGAGTAGCAATTTCTTGGCAGCGGTTTTACACGCGTGGCCACGTGAGGGCATTACGAGATGGGAGGGACACTCCTCAACCCTATACCAAATATGCTCTGATCAGCAGAAGTATATGCACCATATTGTTTATAAACTATCCGTACATCGACTTGGCCATCATATTTTGAGCAATACGTCTATTCATACAATTCACAGTCAAAAGTTATTTGATTCATAGTGCCACAAATGCAGTTATATTTGTGATAAAAGGAGCCATCTTGAATCTCTTGAACACGATTAAAGAGGATGTCACCCGATTAAGAATAGTATTTTGATAGTTGTCTTGCTTGTGATTAATGAATCGGATTGATTTTTAAAAAACCGAATCAACTACAAAGATTATTTTTTGGCACTGTCACTCAAATATTATTCTAAAAATTTGTTTTTAGTTGTTTTAGATGGTGGTTGGAGGTAGTCAACAGTTGTGCATGATAACTTGACTAGTCGTGAATGAGACTTTTTTTATCGCGTAATGATTATTTCATACATTTCACTGACAAGTTGTGAAATAACCGTTTTGTTTATTGGTCGAAACAAGTTTTACCCGTACAGCCAATGCTGGACTAGTCACCTTTGTGTTTGTCTATGCTGAGTTGACTGATGAAGCTGAGTTTATTAACTTGAATGTCAGTTTCCTAACCTAAAATATCTATATATTCAGAAAAACCAGGACATTTCTTGACCCTAGTCAACATTGAGTAGGTTAAATCGACTAACTCGACAACTGCATTAACGACAATTTATTTTTCACAACTACTACAGATAAGAGATGTCTAAAATTCGGACTAAACTATAATTTAGTACAATAATGCAAAATATGGTCAGTGTTATCTATAAACATGACCTACTTCTTTCAGTAACATTTGCTTGAGTAAGGAGTTCATAACTAAAGAGCACCACATGGAATTCGAACTAATTAGTAAAAAGCAAACACTATTTCAACACATAATAGTATTACTTTAAAGATTCGATACTGTTTACAAACTGCTAGTAAATATATACAAAATATTTTTTATGAAAACAAATAACAAAGTAAATAATGTCACTATTGTGATAGTCCTCGTTTACTTTCACCCTTCTTCCGTTTCCCTTTGCCACGTAATTGACGCAGACGTGCCATTTCTTCACGAAAATCTGCATGTTCATTTCTAAACAAGCCCAGATAGCGTAGTTTCTGTAAAATATTACTATATTCTTCTAATGGAGGATAATAATCTTTTAAGATCATTGGGCGAGGTAATTCACTCATTATTCGAACAACTTTCATTGATTTACTATCAACTTGTTTGCCAACATCTCTGAATATTCGTCCAGCAAGCATTGTCATTTTTTTAGCATACAATGAAGTCATCTAAAAACAATTGAAATCAAACACAAATGGGTAAGGACAATAATGGTCACAGTGTAAACTTAGAACACCGGCACAAATTTTCATGACTCAATTTGCTACACCCTAAAAGTCATGAAAACGAAACTTAAGGCGATGTTATTCAACCTCCATATCTGTACACTACGATCATTGTGTAGATTAAAACTTGGTAGTCTAGACTGGCTGACAGCCGAACTCAAAATATTATGAACCGACTTATTTTATTGGACTGATTTTATTCGACGCTTTGATGTACATTGTATTTCTAGCGAATTAACACCAAACCCACTGGGATTGAACAAAACAAAAATGAAGTAAAATATTGATTCCAAACAAATCAGAAATGGTCAAATATCCCAACTACTACGTGAAAAATATTCGGAGTGGTCAATTGTGGCAAATCACACTTGTCATTTGCAGGTAGAATAATAGCTCTTCATTAGTAACTAAATAAACTCTGTTGTATAAGATTTCAACACTACGACACAACTCAAATGAACTGTTTATGAAAAAGTTTTAGGATATATTCCCTATTCACTTTAAGGTTTTTTAGGCCTAATATAGTTCGTAGCCATTAACGGCTACTGTATTATTCAGTTTGTTGAGTGGTAAGAAATCTCACCAAAATTCTTACCGAATAATACAGTTACGAAATAATGTAGGGACTTCGAGGACGTGAAAGCATGTAAAGAGTAGCCAAACGGTATGAAGAACATACAGCTTCAAATATCTGAATCTACTTTCAATGGGTTCGGCTTCATATGGCTTCACCTTTGTGTTAGTGTCTTAAGACACTAACAATTAGTAGACATGTAACACATTGTGTTCCCTATTCGGAAAAATGTGGTGATTACAAGTCAGTAATGTTTTTACCATGAATTTCTGGTAGTTTGCAAAAGTACGTGGACTAGAGATTTTATTTACAAATACAATATTAACCAAAACCACCAAGATGACCTTGTAAGTTGTAAACTCCAGATGAAAAGTATCTTCAACTTACAAGATTCAATATATGATGTTGTAGCGGTAAATAAATCCCCAAACTAAATAGCTCTGTAAGTTTTCAAAATTGGATGCTGACCATATATTTTAGAGGACTCATCTAGCCAGATTAGATCAGGGAATCCCGATATATTGGTTATCGCCAAATACACTCTTCCGATCTCCTCGACTCTGTATTTTGATTTCTCTCGGTGGGAACAAAGTATATTAGAAGGTGTTACTGGTAGAAGCGTTGTCAAACACTGAATACCTGTATCATCCTCATTGGTGAGACCGACGTGATGTGGTACACCTAATTGCAACTGTGAGTCTGTTCCTTTTTGGGATTTTCATATATCATTGCCTTATTTTTTATTTTTTTTAAACATTGTGATTTTTTTCGTGTTTTTTCTTGGATATATATTTTTTTCCCTCGTTCATTATCGTACTTCATATTTCATCATGACTGAACAGACACCTAAAGTACTCAAGCCTAAGAACTTGTCCCCACCTTCGTTTCAACTGATGCCTTTCTGGCCCGACAATATCGAAGCCTGGTTCTGCTACGCAGAAGCCGACTTCTCCGGGCACGGCGTGATCGACACACGTGCACAATTCCTCGTAGTAGTCAAGGCACTACCGCGCGGATTCACCAGGTACGTAACACCTAATATGTTTACTAGTGATGTTTCCGAACCCTACGAAATCCTAAGACGTTCGATTCTTAAACGAGGAGACCTAACCGATCGACAAAGGTTAGATCAACTCTTCAATAACATCGACCTGCAACACGGTTCTGCGAAGACGTGTTTCAACGAATGAGAGAAGTGATAGGCCTAAGAACTTTTGACGAAGGCCTATTCAAACAACTTTTCTTGTCTAAACTTCCTCAACAGGTGCAAGCGGTTCTACTCTCGTTTCAGAACAACGCCTTAGACGAGCTGGCTGCATCTGCCGATGGAATCTGGGAAATTACGAAATCGTCTACTACAGAGGTATTTTCAGTCAAAGAAAAGCCTCACACGACTCAGAATGACATAACCGAGTTATGTCATACACTCACGCGTCATCTTAATCTTCGTACCGACCGTAATCGCTCACACAGCCCACGTAGAAGCATTTTACGTAAGCGATCTGTCTCTAGACCACGAGAGACGGATAACGTCGACTGGTGCTGGTATCATAACCAGTACCGAAAGTCTTCCAGAAATTCCAGAAAACCCTACAGTTTTCCCAACAAGAAACCGACTGACTCGAAAAACAACTCGGGAAACTTCCAAGCCGGCACGCGTTAACGGCAACCGTAGCCGGCGAACATAGCCGTCTGTTGTACGTCACAGATGTGACAACGAGAGTTCGCTACCTCGTCGACACTGGCGCAGAAGTTAGCGTTCTCCCAGCAAATCATAACGACCGACTCCACGAATCAACTCTAAACTTACAGCCGGCAAATGGTAAACCGATCGCCACGTATGGCAAAAGGTACGTCTAACTTAACGTGGGTTTACGCAAACCCATTCATTGGATTTTCGTTGTTGCAGATGTTTCTATGCCAATCATTGGTATGGATCTTCTACAACCCTTTCCTCCTGGGTAAACTCCCCAATCAACTTCACTAGCTCATTTGATACATCTCCCACTAAATCTAGCTATCAAAATACCGAGCTAATGAAGAACATTCAATCCATCATTTCAAACTCATCTCACACCCGCGAGGGTTACGACGACTTTATCCGAGATACCCTCACCCATTTTAACTTAGTAGGCCACTTGCTTAATATATGTCTTATCAACGCTCGGTCGATCTGTAACAAAAAGACGGATTTAGCCCTGTTTGTATCCATATATCAACCATCAGTTATTATGATATCTGAAGCATGGACTAACAGTAATATTTCCGACCAAAGTATATCTTTTGATAACTATTTCCTGTATAGAAGTGACAGATTGAATGGACGAGGCGGAGGATGCCTTATTTACGCTCACTCTAGCCTAAACTCACTACTATGTGATATGCCTGAACTAAACAAACTGAAGGATTCGGTGTGGATTGTATTAAAGCTGTCGAATTCCGTTACCTTACTGCTCGGCTGTGTTTATCGTCAACCTAACGCATCAATAGATGATATAGCAGTATTATCAGAGGTATTCACACTAGCATCATCCCTCTCATTCACAGGCAAGCTCATTTGTGGTGACTTCAATATGCCCGAAATTTCTTGGCTGCCAGTCAAAGCGCCGAGACGTTATGAATCATTTATTGAATGTCTAGAGCTCGGACAATGGACTCAGTATGTCGATAGCCCTACCAGACATCAAAACATCTTGGACTTAGTCTTTACCAGTGGCCTCATCCCCAATACTTTGTATATTGGAAAAAAGTTCCCAGGTAGTGATCATAACATTGTCATATGCAGCCTTAATGTAAAAACCACAACCAATAGAAGCAAAACCGTAACACTTCGTAGAAACTATCGCAAGGTTGATTGGAATAACTTCCACAATTACCTAAGAAGCACTGATTGGGGAACTTTCTTTACCTCAAACAATACCGACACATTAACCAATATATTTTATCACAACATCAAAAGTATCATCAGCAACATCGCACCTTTAGAATACTGTAAACCTGCGTTCTCCAAAGATCTCTATATACCGGTCAGTACAAGAAGACGTCTTCAAAGACATTGTACTCAATTCCACAACTTAAATGACTTTTCCTCTTTAGTAACGATGACAGAAATACTTGTCCGAACAGAGGCAATAAGTAAACAAAAAGCAGTAGCACAGGAAAAACGTGCAGTTGAACTTAATAATAACTCCTCTGCACTCACCATACTACTCAAAAATAAACTTAAACGCTCTAAACCGAGAGGGAGTATATTCATTAAAGGCAAACAAGTATACGAAGATCCTAAACTTGTCACAGAATTATTTGGTGAACATTTTTGTTTCTCACCAACTAACGAAAAACCATTTAATGATTCAGAACGAATCTCAGTAACTCCCTGTGAAATTACTAATGTAGAATTCAGTGTACAAAATATCTCCAAGGCAATCAGTACATAGAAACACTCCTACACTGATGGACCGAATGGTATTCCATCTAGCATGCCAAAACGTGGAGGTGATGATATGTGTGCTTTGCTTCTCAAACTATTTGCGATATCACTCTCTTCACGTGTTACCCCACTGCCTGCAAAACTAAACATATCATTCCCAAAATGAAAACAGGATTTGAAGAAAACGTTGAAAATTACCGGCCTATAAACCTAACTTCAGTGGTATCCAGAGTGATGGAAAAAGTAGTTAAGGCGGCTGTAGTCCAACAACTAATAACTAATAATCTCATCTCGACCTCCCAGCATGGATTTCTTAGGTCCAGATCATGCGATACATGCCTAGTAGACTACCTGAATGATATAACTATGAAACGAGACAGCGGACTCCTTGTATCAGTTATATTCCTAGACTTTAAGAAAGCCTTTGATAAGGTCCCACACAAAAGGCTACTCGTCAAACTAAAGTCCTTCGGAATACACAACCCACTGTACTCATGGTTTGCTTCGTTCTTAACAGAACGTAAACAGATGGTAAAGTACAATGACTGTCTCTCGTCCCCTAGACCAATCACCAGTGGAGTCATCCAGGGAAGCGTATTAGGCCCACTTTTGTTTCTTATGTATATAAACGATATATGTAACACCATAGAATTTGGGAGACCATACTTATATGCTGATGATCTCAAAATAGTATACAGCTATAAGCCTGAGACAATAAGCGAAAGTGTATCCCAGATCCAAAAGGACCTCAATAACTTAACTATATGGAGTGAAAAATGGCAATTACCATTTAACCTCAACAAGTGCGGGATCATGCACTTTGGAAAGCATCCCTATAAACCGCAACTTCACTTAAATGAAAGTAGAGTCCAAACACTCGAATCAGTACACGATTTAGGAATTAATTACACAGGAAGCCTGAACATTGAAGAACATGCCTCCTCTATTATTTCTAAATCTAGACGGCTAATTGGCTTTATAATGAAAAACATTTTCACAACAGAGGGTAAACTTACTCTCTACAAAATATGTGTACGACCCTCCCTTGAATAATGTTCTTTTGTCTTCTCTAATATGAATATCACAGACAAGATAAGAGTAGATGTTCAAAGACGTTTCAAACATCACCTACTAGAATGCTACTCGAATCTTGATTACACAGACAGATGTAAGCATCTATATTTAGAACCTTTATGGCACCGTAGGCTAAAAAACAATTTAATATTTCTCTACAAAGCGATATATGGGCTCTCCTTTCTAACCTCCTGCCCGACTATTACCCACGACCCAGCCTATAGACTTAGAAACAACGCATATACACTACTTACCGTAAAACACCAGAAACAAATGCGTTGTAAGTTCTTTACAGTACGGTACAGTTTATTGTGGAACAGGCTGCCAATGCCTATCCGTAATTGTGGTACGTTTATCAGATTCCAAAGGCTAATAACCTTATTTCTAGACTCCAAAGAGCTTCAACATTTCCTTGAACTCCCGCCCACCAATGAGGCACTTTATTACGGACCGCCTAGTATCTAGAAAGAACAAAATTATAACAAGTTCGACTGTTACTAATATGAATATAACCAAATCACAGAACATATGGCTTATCCTTTCCTATTATTCATTGTTTATTAATCATTACTTCATGCTCCTAACCCTAGCTTTCAGTTCCCAAATCTCTACAGGTTAAATGTACATTATTCTTCCTAAAAGTCATGCCTTTTTTTTTTATTCCACTGCAAGTAGACAGATAGCTCAATCTTATGAATGCTGACCTACTAAGGCCGATCATTCAAAGCTCAAAATTTGGCTACAACGTCTTGTGAGTGTCTCAATGTTTTATTTGTCTTACCCTGAAATTTTTTTCTACGATTTTATACCCTCTCATATCTTTTGATTTGCTATTAGTCCTTACTTCTTTAAACCATTAGTTATTTTC